TGTTTTCTGGACCTCTCCAGATATGGCCAAGCCATCTTAATCTATTGTTTTGGATGTCCTGCACTATTTGTGGCTGTCCATAAAGTCTATATAATTCAAAGTTGCATCTGATTCGCCAACAGCCTCTTTCCTGAACTGGGCCAAAAATATTTCTAAGGATTTTCCTTTCAAAAACACCAAGAGTACGCTGAGTGTCTGCGTTTAGTGTCCATGTTTCACTTGCATAGAGCAATACAGGTAAAATAAGAGTCTTATAAATTGTAATTTTTCGACTGATTAGGCTTGATCTTAATTGCTTTCGTAATCCAAAGAAACACTTGTTTGCCATTTTAATTCGGTTGTCTATTTCTGTTTTTATGCTGTTTTGGTCATTGATCATTGTTCCAAGGTATTTGAATTCATCAACCTTTTCAAAGGTGTAACCATTTATGAATAAAGGATTATGACTTACAGTTGTGGCTGGAGATTCCATAAATTTAGTTTTATCTTCGCTGATGGTAAGGCCCATATTTGTGGCAGAAGTTTCAAGAGCCAGAAAGGCCTCTCTCACTGCTCCCTCTGACCTTCCTATGACATCAATGTCATCGGCATATGTCAGTAATTGAACTGATCTATTCCAAAGGGTACCTTTTCGGTCTAATCCACTTGTCCAGAGCTAGATTAAAGAGTAGACAGGTGAGGGAATCCCCCTGACGCAGGCCTCTCTCTGTCGAAAATGGTTAAGATAATTGGTTTTGAATTTTAACCCTGCATCTTATATTACTTAGTGAAGCCCTGGTTAAGTTAATGAGTTTAGTAGGGATCCCAAATTCGGCTATTGCTTCCAGTAGTTTATCTCTCTTTATGCTGTCGTAAGCAGCTTTAAAGTCTATAAATAAATGAAAAGTTTTAATATTATATTCCTTAGTTTTTTCTAAAATTTGTTTTAGGGTGTGAATTTGATCTATAGTAGATTTTTGTGATCTAAAACCACATTGGTAGTCTCCAGTTATTTTGTCGGTAAAAGGGAGAAGTCTTGTTAAAAGCAAGTTGGAGAATATTTTATATGCCGTATTGAGGAGTGTAATGCCCCTATAGTTAAGACATTCGAGTTGGTCTCCTTTCTTAAATATGGGGCAAATGGAGCCTTCTTCCCATTCAATGGACAATTTCTCCGTATCCCAAATTTTAACCATGATATTATAGATGGCGTTAAGAAGCTCTGGTTCTTCAGTTTTTAGTAGCTCAGATGGTATACACTCGGGACCAGTCGACCTATTGTTGTTAAGTTTTTTAATAGCTAGGACAACCTAACCATGAGATGGGGGGGGGATGTCTACGTGTTGAACTGGGTTCAGTTCTTCAGGGCTGTTCTCTAAGTTGCGAGTCTCATTTTTTGCTTCAAGCAAATCTTGAAAGTAACATTTCCAGACTTTAAGCACGTGATGAAGTTCGCTCACAAGTTCTCCATCCTTATTTCTGCAGGTGATAGTACTTATTTATTACGTATTTTAGGAAATTTTTAAGATTCGAATAGTTTTTGCTCACAATTATAAAGTTCGTTTATCCAAAGATAATCTTGGGTAAAAATAACGCTTATGATTTTTTTTTTTAAATTATTTAATCTAATAATAGCCAAAATTTATTTATATGAAAGGTCTACAAATATTTATACAATTTGTAACCAAGTAATCACAAAATCTAGTCAATAATTCTTTAAATAAGAGCCATTATAGGCTTGGCGTCAGGAGCAGAAAACGAATTGGAAGCCATCATCAAGAAGAGTAAGTTTTGTCACAGAAAAATTCACAAAATTATTACTATGATAATTTTAAAAATGTGGATTTTAGCTAATCTTTTAAAATTGTTTGATGAAAGGTCCTCAATATGTCGTAGAGGCCATTTCCTTTGGCACTGAGTATCAAGTGTACCCTGCTTACAAAGGAAATTATTGAGTGATTCGCTCCATTGTTTTATTTTTATTTCTGTTAAAAATACTGATCGACGTTCGAAACTTTTGCAGGAGGCGCCTCGAAAAATTTCTCTCGAGCGCGATTTTTATCTTATAAACTCGCACTTGACTTGATGTCAAAAGTAACAAACAAAAATAATAAATAAATATGAATAAATAAAAAATAAGAGAGAGGTTAAGTTACTAGATATAAATCGCAATATTTGTATCGATATTTTTTTTAAATACGAACACTGAAGAGGCATAAAAACTTTTGAATGCGAACTGTTATAAGCTAAAATGTTATCGTCAGATATTAACAAGTAAAAATATTTCCCATTTATTACTTCTTATGTCACACACTCTGTATTCCTAAGTTACTAATTTTATTTTCAGGTACAGTTGATTGTTTTTTAGAGACAGGTATCCTTTCATTTCGTTACAATTAACAATAAAATGTGCTACACAAACTTATTATGAAAAATATATTTTAAACAAATTTCTTTTTCGACTTTAAAGAGAAAAAAAAATGATTCATGAGAAGCAACCACGGGGGTTGTTGAGCGGAGTGAACAAGGAATAGAACCTTCCAGCATCTTAAATATATAAACCATTGCACGTAGTTGAAAATCGATTCGTGCCTAACTCAGAGCAGACAAATACAACCGCGAAACTTTCTCCTCCAATAAGTCATTCACAATTAATTACCAAGGAAATCTTAAAATATTAACCAACTGTGAATTCAAAGTTCACAGATATTTATTAGCCTAGGTGACTCACAAGTCCTTGAACAAACGGTCAAAATCATAACTCACTTTTTAAATTGATATTCCTATGATATTCGTCAAGCTCCGTCAACTGAGTAGAACGAGCCGTTACAGTTAAAGTTTAAGATTATAAAGAGTTAAGTATACCTTTTCAAAAGTGGGCTGGGAGCTTTTCTTCGTTGTCAAAGTAAATTTGTATTTGTCAATGTTTCTTGCTGAAAGAGCACATAAAAACTCACGAATCAAAAAGTAACGACGGTGTTATTGTACTAATAAAATAAATCTAGAATTTTTAATAAACGCACTTATTCACAAGTAGTTGCACAAGATTTTTTTTTCCACACTGCTTCAACGATTTACATTGAAAGTTTAATTGAAATTGAACTATATTAAATTAATATTGCACCTGAACTAAAAAAACGAACCAAATATCTCATTCAAAACTGCAGCTCAACTCGAAGTCTGGTCAATTTAGAACATTTGGAAAATTTCTGACGCAGTAACGGCTGGCCACAGAAACGAGAGAGTGTCTGGTCTTTAATTTGTTTCTGGCCTTGACCCTTGCATTCTAAAATTAAAAAAAAAAGCCACTAACATATGTTTAGGGATAATTTTTTTTTTCTGTATGGTCAGTGTTTTATTCAAAACCTGCTATCAATCTTAGAGCTTGTTCAGTTTAACTGCACGCTATTTCTATTGTGTGTGTTTTTAAAATCCGATTTTATGTTCTGGAAAATTTAATTTCTCAGAGATTTTTTTTTTTATAGAAATGAGATTTAAGCATTGAATTTTTTTATTTCATACAAAATATTTGGCATCCCTTAAAAAATAACAAAAATATTTTATCAAAAGAAGTATTTCATTTAGATATTTAAATTTTCATCTTTCTAGGTGAAGTCCATGAGTGTTTATTTCCGATGAGTCCGATATTTTTACCTTCTTACAGAGTGTAATAACAAAGCTATAAGTTCTAAAAAAAGTACTTAACTTTTCCAAATTTTATCACGTGGGGCGGCAAAGTTATTAAATTCCAAGCTTTATTTAGTAAAATTAAAGATTGTTAATCCAACTTTTTGACTTAAAAAGTAAGTTATTTTAAAAATCTTCGTCTTACTGAGCAAAGCAATTTAATATTTCTAAACTACAAGTATTTTTAATCTTTTCAAAAAATTTTTTTTCTGACATCTTTACGAGAAGTGCAACTGATCTCCATTTTTTTTCTAAAGGTTCTTTGCGTGGTGTTTTTAAATCGGTTTTAAAAATACACTTTTTTTAAATCTAATATGCAATTATTCATATTGGTCCTAAATTTTATTTAAAGCAGTTGAAGAGATTTGTTTTTCTTACTTCAAAACTTGCTCTTGAGAAATAGGGCTTTTAATGCTATGTGGGGATAGTAACAATATTCGCAAAGTATCCCACCAATTTAAAACTTTCATCTTCATCTAACTCAGCTACTTACATAGCTCAAGGTATAGGGCGTTCGCCTTCCAATGAGGTGAACCGGGTTCGAAACCCAGTAGATACGAATTCCGCATCCGACTTGCACTGACCACAGTGCTGACGTGAAATATTCTCAGTGGTAGACGGATCATGGGTTAGAGTTCCCTTGCCGTCAGGCTAACCGTGGGAGGTCCTCGTGGTCTTCCTCTCTATGTAACGCAAAATGCGGGTTAGTTCCATCAAAAAGTCCTCTACGAAGGCAAATTTCCCTCAATACTTGATCCAGGAGCTTCCTTGTCTTCTGGATTGGGTTCAAAATTACAAGGCTACGGAGTTAAACATTAGTAGTTGTAAACCCAAAAATTGGGCCGGCTGTTCAACGACGGTTATAAAATAAAATAAAATATACGTAACTAAATAATTAGCTCAAAATATTTTAATCAAGTATTGTTTCCAAAAGAAAAAAATATCTGCAGTTTATTTTGTTCTATTACAGAATTCGCCAACAAAAGAAGTTTATTATATATCAGCCTTAGCCTTCAGTATTAATAATACCAAATAAAACTATAAATCTTGTTTCCCTAAAAAAAATTTAGAGGCTTGTTTAGTTTAAATAACCTTAGCCGATTTATACGAAATTAAAATAACGTTAAATTTAATTAACATTATATAAGTGTCATTACATAAATTTTATAAATAAAAAATAATTATTTAAACTAAAACATGATATTAAATTTAATTTATTTAATATTTTAAATGATATCATTCAAATTGCATAAAAAACTGAAATGTGGTATTTCAGTAACAAGAGAAAAAAATATTTCAAATTCAAACAATAGAAAACAAAAATACAAACAATATCCAGTAAAATTTGATAAGTTTATTCACAAGGAGCTTGTGCTAAATAATGATTATCACAATATTTAAACAAATAATGATACATGGCAAATGCAATGAAAATAGAAGAAATGATCAAATAAAAATACATAGCTGTGTTTTACTTCAGACAAAATATCACATAAAAAGATAAATAGTGAATAGCAGTGCACAGCCTTTTCCACTAGAGATCCAAGAACCCAATGAATTTAGTTTTAATATCAACTGAGAAGTATTCCTATTAGAACAATATCAACTCAACTTTATAATTACAACAAAATATATGTTACAATCTTTTTTAAATTAAAGAAAAAACCTTTAAAGAATTGCACATTTTGTCTAAATATATCAGGCATTCAACTTTCCCCATGGAATAATTAATTTTATTATTTTTTTACTGCCTATAAATAATATACATCTATAAATTTTTAAATAAGTTTTTAAACTCTGTATGCTTTAAAAAAAGAAAATTTGCTTTAAAAGAATCAAATGTTAAAAGATTTAAATCTTTATGGTTAGTGTTGTTACATGTTGGAATTATGTTATATAAACGTTGTTCAACGTTTATTGAAATTAATTTGCTTTTTAACGTTTATTGAAAAAATTTCACTGTCGATGGCCGAGAACGTCTCCCACTTATACTACACCCTTCATGTCATTTCACTGAGTCAAACTAGAGTAGAGTTTAATAGGGTCTTCTTTCCCTGCTGATTTTTTGCCCGTTTTCTGGGCTGTGGTTTCGCTAGAGAGGGACAGAATAAAGTTTCTTACATCAATTTTAATGTTATAATTTAAAAGTTTTTCAACATTTATTGAAAATCAGATATAAAGCTTCTACATCAGTTTTAATGTAATAATTTAAACATTTTTCAACATTTATAGAAATTAGTTTGAAAAACATTATAATGCTTGGTACATCAATTATGTAGCTTTTCCCAATTTTGTTTTTAGTAGGAAGGTAGTGGGCAACACATTGACTGTTCATAGGCCACATTTGGTCCCTAGCTACAGGTTGTGCACTTCTATTATATAAGGTATTTTCACGATATCATGAAAATATAATATTTATATTTAAGCCAGGTATATGTGAAAATGCTTGACTAAAATGTGGGCATATTTTTCATTTACAAAAAGGAAGAAAAAACACTTAAAAAAAAATCTAACTGCCTTATTTTGATTCAGCTATAAAGATAACCTTGAATGTAGTTTGGAATGACTTACAGTGGAAAACTTCTAACTAAGAATGATATAGAATTATTTAAAAATTTCTGTTTATGTGGTGTAAAAGAGTTTTTATATCTTATTACTACTAATATGTAGGTAATTATTATTAGTACAAGCTAGCTAACCATTTAATAAATAGTAAAGCAGTGAGAAATTTCTACTACTAAAACAAAGCAGAAATTGAAATAAACTAAAAACGACATTATTTATAGGAAACAATTGCAAAAATAGAAAAATTAAGAACTTTAGTTATGCTTTCTTTTTTAAAAAAATTTTGTTAACGATCCAATTCTTTTAAAATTAACAAAGCCCATACAAAAAAATAATAAATATAATTTCCATTGGATTCTATATAGCATTCAATTACTAATTCATCTGATGTTATTAATTAAGTGTACTGTAATATACATCACTCTAAGTTTGTGTAACTGTAAGATACATCACTCAAATTTTGCAGTTAAATTTTAGCGTTTAAGCTATTTGCTCTTTTTTAATTTTTATTTATTTATTAATTTTTTAAAATACTATTTATTTATTTTTACAATAATAAAATAAATAAATCTCAGTATTACAAAACTAAAAATAAATAAATAATAAAGCTTGATTGTAAGTTTTTTGGTTCAATAATTGTCTAATTTACATGTAATTTTATCTTTAACTGTAATGCAATAAATACCAAAATTGAATTTATGCAGAGATGAACAATACTTGAAAACAATCCTATTGCACCCTTGTAGCAATTCATGTCCAAAGTTTCCTTTCTCCCTATTCATGGCTGAGTCCTCTTAAATATAATATTTCAAATACTGTAAATTTGGGGAGTGTAAACTTTACAATTTAAGTGTCTCTAACATATTTTTAATTACACTTGTTTATTTTCTTTTTATTCAAATATTTATTTGGTTAAATGGTAAATTGTACTATGATGAGAGAGAATTCTATAATAATAAATGTATCAAAAAGCATTTTAATACCGTAACTATAAGAAATAACACACAATCATGTTTATTCTTTCAATAGTTTAAAAGGAGTTGTGGTGCAAGTCAAACAAATAAAGATGCATTAAATTCAAAGTAAAAATAAGTTGAAGGACACAAAAAGTAAAGAAATTATAAAATATTTATGTAAAATCGCAATTCATTTAAACGCTAGGGGGAAAAATAGATTTTAACACTCAACATCATTTAAACAATATTGAAAAATTGCATATAATTATAATAAAAAATATATAACTAAGCAATTGCAGAGAACTTCATACATAAGGGCACTGTGCATGTCAGGGTAAGAGTATGGTTTTTCTGTATTAATTTCACTTGAAAATAATTTTTTTCTTACTCCCACATTAAAGTGGAAACTGTGGTCGTATGTTAACAATTTGCTTTGTAAAAATACTTCAAAAGAATAAAACTACATTAAAAACACTAAAATAAATCTAAGCTTGCAAACGAACAATTTGCTTGCCTTACTCTCATACAATTCTTCAACTGTTCTCCTCTTTGCATCACACTTTTAAAATAATAATTTAAAAAAAATCAGATTATTTATTTTATCTAACATATAATTGTTATTGAATTAAACTTAACATTTTGCATCAATATGGGAAGAGTCGATGACATTTGAATTTAGTAAAATAAATTTTGCTTAAAGATAAGCATGTTTTAATATAAAAAATTCTCAAAACTTTGCTTTGGATTTAATCCTATAGTTTATATAGCAATAAAGTTAATTATAGAACTAATTATATAAATTTCAAAAATTCTCATTATGTTTCATCACAGACGTCAAACACCGTAACATGTGAAAAATTTTCTCATATGTTAATATTATTTTCATAATTAGTTTATTAGCTTACATAATTTAAGTTTCCTTCTGAACTTATTAAGTCAAATTTGAGATATATATTACAAATCACCTCAATTAGAAAAAACTAATAATAGACAGCTGTAATAACAAAAAAACAAAAAAAAATTCATTGACTTTCATAAAATTTGAGTATATTCTATGAATACTAATTATTGGGACTATACAATGACACAAAACGTCTAGAAACTTATTGAAAAATTTAAATTTTTTTTGATTGTTTAAAAAAAATATATATTTAAGTATAGCACAAAGGAAATAATATCAAACACTTATTTCAGTTGATCATACTGAGAAACTGAGACAGAATATAATTAAATTAGAACATTTATGACATCAATTACAATTGATTAACATTTATAAGGCAACAGTAAAAGTAACAACATATTTTAAAATATTAAACATTTTAACAATGGCACCAATAAGCAATTAACATACATTTACAGGCATACATTATTTAGGGAGAAAAACTACAAAAGGAAATTAATATGATTAAACATTATATAAAACTACAATATGGGAACATAAAAGGCTATTATAGTAGAGTCCCCCCCTCATCTCATTTTGGAGAAAAACTACAAAAGGAAATTAATATGATTAAACATTATATAAAATTACAATATGGGAACATAAAAGGCTATTATAGTGGAGTCCCCCCCTCCTAAAAAAGTTTCACTTATTCAAAAGTTTAATAATGAGAAAAATTATAGACCATCTCATTTTGGAATTTTAGGAATCACAGACTACAATGACATGAAATAAATATGACACGTTCGTTCTCTCTCTCCAAATTGAATTATTTTCGTTTGCAATATTTAATTTACTTTTAATTCTGCTACAGATCAGCTTTTCAATATTAGACGAAGTCATATCAAAATGGATAGGTATTATTCATTCATTATGCAGTGTGAAAATAGTCATTGGTTGCACAATTAGGCAGATCAAAACAAATAACTAAAATTGTGTGCATTATTATTAGATCTATACCAATATTCAAGAGTAATTCACTTATTTGTACTAAAAGGAAACAATAGCAACACCTTTTTATGAAATTTATGTATGGGTACTGAGAGTGTACTGAAAACATTCTAGTATAGTTTTAAGAAATGATAACACTAAACTAAAATTGACAGAAACTAACATCTGTCTAAAAATTGCTACATAAATGTGTTAATTTAAACATAATTGATCCCTAATTTAGATTCTAATTATTTTTGAATTATTATTGTTGTTTGCATAATGCAGTGTTATAATCACTACTTCATAAGTTTTTATTAAAAATCATCGCAGGAATAAAATTTGATAAAATTTTGATTCTTTTTTATAAATAAGAGATTATTTTATTCATTTTTTAAAAAATTTTTTCCTTTTATAGGTCATGATAAAATAATTAATAAATAAATTATTGAATATCATTTATTTGCTATTTTAAAATTTTCAGCAATATAAATGCAATCGGGTCTAATAATAAGACAAAATAATATAGCACAACAGGATTTATAAGATGGCAAACTAATGTATATACTAATTGCAACATAACTGTAGTTAGTTAGCTTCTAATCAAAAACATATGTAACTTATAGCAATGTTAGACAAAACACATAGTTCAGTTTTAAGAAGAAAATATTGAATAGCTTAAAAAGATTTGGAAAAAAAACCATCAATGCAATATATTCATGGAGAATTAAAGTTTGGTTGTGAAAAGTGATAAATCTTATTCTTTAAATAAAAGTGTCATGTGCTCTCTTGTAATCTTTAATTCACATAAAATATTACCTACTTATACTATGTATTTACAAGCTTGTGTGCTTCATATATGTCCCTAGGATATCATTTTAGATGGATCTAACTTCTAAGAAACAAAATTTTCAGTAATCTTTGTTGGTCCCAATCAACTCAAGTTATGGGGACTCTACCTTATATGCTCTCTATTCACAAAGAAGTTTGAAATAGAAAAACTGAAAAGACTTTACAAGACAAAGCTACCAAAAAATAATAATTCGCCTATACTAAAATAATGAAAATGACAAATAAAAACCTAAAAGTTATACTTATATAGAAAATATTTTCTTTTATTACATATTTTAAATTAAAATAATATTTTCAATACGTGCTGTTACATCTTAAATTACAGTAAGAAATTAAAATAATGAAACATATGTTACAATATGAAAATAAAATTTACATTCAAAAAGATTTCATAATTAACAGTAAACTGGAAGTAATTTTCTTGAAGAAAAATTGACAAAGATTCTACCAAAATATATATGTATTTAATGGAAGGCAGCATGGTTAATTATTACTAGGAACAAGACATTTAATATTTTTAAATATTTACATAAAATATTTCCACATTACTCTTGAATGCATCTGATTATCCCTTGCCAATACAAGCAAGAAATAAATACTGAAGAAGCTCTATCCTTAGACTAGATATGTCTACCATCATGATAAGAAAATAGGATTTTTTACAGACAGAAATGTAATAATGAGCAGAAATTATTGGAAATATGATTCAACAGTTCACCTCTTCATTTAAAAGATCAAACTTATTGCCTGATGCAGAAGCTTCCGTGCTATCTTCACTGTCGGCCTCGTCGTTCCTAGAATCTTCTTCCTCGGAGTCTGAATCTTCGTAGTCATCTATCTCCTCGGAGCTTTTAGAGAATATCCTATCAACAGCAGTATGCATTCCTCGGGATGGTTCTTTTTGTCTATGAGATTGGATTGCGATGATATCTTTTAGACTAGGATGATTGGACCACATTTCTAATAAAGATTATAAATAAAAAATAATTAAATTAGGTAAGCATTTTTAAAAATATATTATAAAATAAAATAGTTCATATCTATTTGAATACAAATGAAGAACAATAAATTTTAAATGATGCTAAAAACATTAACTTTTTTTCGATTTTCAATATATGGGAAAAACAATTTTTCCCTTTTTTTTTAAATTTAACCAGCATATTTACAGCTACCATTTCTACAGGGAGCTTCTTTTGGGAAACTCTTTTTGTAAATCCAGAATCCCCTTTTAAATTAGAAAAATTCAGAGTTCAATTCCAGTCTTTAATTCTCTATGGATATGTTTCTGTGTTGTGATGCTTAATTGCTCTTTGTTAATAATAATGAAACAATAAACAGTTTTTTTTCATGGCTTTTCTTTCTTGTTGAATATATGGGGCAACTATAAATACATATTTTTGGTAATATCTATCAAGAAAAAAATTCTAATTTTGCTTCTGATGGGAATAATTGCTCTCCTTGATATTTTATCAAAGAATAAAAATGCATGTTTCATGCATCCTATACATCCTTTGTTCTTCTTGTTTACGCTTGAGATTTTTTTAAGGCAATTTAGACAGCTTTGAAAGTAGTGTAGAGAGTTACATATTGAAATAAGATATTCTTTTAAAGGAATTTAGTGCAAAAAAAAGGAATATTTTGGACAGGTAAAAAGTGCTCAAAACTATTGCATGTAAGGGGATGTCAAATGATTGAGTAACAAGAACATGTGTCTGTAATGCAATAAATACCAAAANACTAATTCAAGAAAAAAAAACATACTTTTTACAACTATTGCGATAAAGGATTTTAAAGTCACATGAATACAAATAGCAATCTTGAATTTTAAAATCACGTGAATATAAATCACGATATTGAAATCATATGAATGAAACTCGATATTGGATTTCAAAAATGCGAAAATACAAATTATGATGCGTAATTTTCAGATTGCATAAATATGAATTACGATGCATAATTTCTAAATTGTGTGAATACGAATCCAAAGCCTAATTTTTAAATCATGTGTAAATATGAAAATAGATGTTCGATATTACAACCGCAAAAACGAATCACGACATTGGATAAACTTGCATGAATACGAATCGTTACACAGAATTTTAAAAACGCCTCAATACAAATCACGATATTGGATTTTTAAATCTCGTAAATAAGAATTGCAATGAACGATATTGAAATCGTAAGAATAAGAATCGAAACATGCAACATTTAAACCTCGTAGATATGAAAATCTATGTTTGATATCAAAACGCAGCGAGGTTTGGATTATTTTCTGCTCGTAAAAGCTAATAGCTAAAATAAGTAGATAGGTGGAAGAGTTGGCAGCTGCGCAGTTTGAATTTTTTTTATATCTTTCGATATATTATATCTATACATCAAATCTGAAATAAAAATAATTATTTTATTTCAACGGCTGAATTTTCCGATAAAGCGGAAAATTTATTAAAAAAAATTGAAACTTTTAGGAATCGGAGTTTCTGATCATAAGGCTGAAATTCGAGAGACAAAAGCAGAAAAGGCGGAAATCTGCTAAAAAGCGGAAAAATCTCATCCTTGGTTTTGAGTAAATGAATATAGATATAAAAATAGGAAATAAAAGGTTTGGGAACATTTCCATTTCATATGTGAGACAATCAGATACTGTAATATTAGTTACACATGTTAAGAAGAAGATCACAAGAATAAGTTCCTTCCATTAAAAATGCCAATAGTGGATCTATTTCTCTAGAAAGCTTTCAGCTGTAAAACACACCTTTCACAAAATGTTAGATGGTAAAGTGATGATGCATCTCTAATATAGGAAATAATTCCAAACAATCTCCCCTAAATGAATGTTTTTGTACACTAAAGAAAAGAACACAACACAATGTAACACAAAATATAAAATATTCATAAAAAACTATTAGATTTTGAAAATCCATTAAAATACATATTATATACCTTTTTCTTCAGTATAATTCGGAGGATAAAATGCTAAACAGATAGTGCGACCATCCAAAGCCATTCTTAAAATTATGTTAGATGCTCGAAAAATGTCAGGCCTTGCAGTTTTAGCTGTTCGAAAACCACGCTTTATAGCCCAGGCTAGAGAAAAATGAATACATTTTTTAAAAAGATTTTAATACAAAAGTCTTAACTTGACAAATTTGAAACATTTCTTCAAATAGGAAATTTAAATTTTTCTGGGAATGAGAATTTTATTCTATACCAAATCATAATATAAGTATATAAGTATTATTATAGTTCTTCTTTAAAAAAAATTATCAAAAAAAGTTTTAAAATCATGTAAATACAATACCAGATTTGTAAAAGCTTAAAATTACCTTCACAAATATCATAAGCTGACCATTTAAGATCGTTACTGTCCTTAGATGGATCGAAATCGGGATGTGTCAGTTTCAGAATTACGTCCAGTTTCACTCTCTCCCCTAAATAAGCTATAGCGGAATATGGTTCACGAAGCTGAGATATTGGATAACAGCCCATTAGAACCTGTAGAATGTTAGAATAATCTTTCAATTCATGGTAATAAAAAAAATTTAACTTTCATAAGTTAGTAAGAAAATACTTTATCGTTATCTTTTTAAAATAAAATTTAGGGATACTAATTAGTAAGGCCCGGATTTTGATGACTTTTGCATTTTTTTGCATTCTTTGCATTTTTGGACATTCTTTGTCCTTTAGAGCATTTTTTTAGATTTATAGGGCATTTTTCTTTAAATTTTTCGGCGCATTTTGCATTTTAAAACATTTTTTAAATTTTTTGTTAATTTTTTCCAATTTTTATTATTTTGTTATAATTTTTTATTATTACACTGGCTTCCAAACAATGAAGAAAATCTCTAGGATATTAACAGGTGAAGCAACATCTTTTCAAATTGAAGAAGAATTGTCAGTAAGTG